CACCCGCAACATACGGAATAACCACTGGTTTGGGTCTGGGTTTGGGGTCTTCATTTTCACCTGAAGGTTGCATGGAGATTCCATGTAAATGTAAATGAGTGAAAACTCATTGAGTTGCATGGAGATTAATACATTGTATTTTTCTGGATTTTTGTTTTAGATTCCATCACTCACATTTGAAGAGTACCTATGATAAAAATTACAGTCWTCTACAAGCTTTGCAAGTGGGAAAACCTGAAAAATCAACAGTGTATCAAATACTTGTTCTCCCCACTGTATTTGTCCATTTTTAAAACTATTGTTATATGTTGTTTAGTTGATCATTATATTAGTTACTGGATAAAATTGATTTATAAATAAAATGTGTAGGATATAACATCATGTGCTGTTACAAATAATTTCTGTCAGCAGTAAGGAGCAGTTATTAAAAATACATGTTGTTGATATTTAATTTTTAATGTCAACTAAACATGCTCTCACATTATTTTCTTATTTTATATAACGAGAGGATTTTAAATTTTAACCCAGGCTCCTCTGTTTTTTGCTCCCAACAGACATAAGAACAGCTCTTACAGAATTGTTGTGTTCTGGTACATACAGATATTAGTACCACAGAGGAAAGTAAAGACACCAGATCTGATTGCAGCCAGACCATCATTTGATCATTGCCAGAATCATCTGTTSTATCAGTAACATCTCCAACACCTCAACTAAACATCAGATCATTCATGGTGACAAAACAACAAAACAAGGTTGTACATATATATTTAATTTAACTAGTTGTATAGAAATGATTTGTAGTGATAACAGTAAGCTTCACCTAGGAGCACCAGCAGAACAAAGAGAGTCTAGGAGGGTTCAGATGTTGAGACCCCAGAAATTTGTGAAAAAACAAACAAACTCAAAACTCTGCATTTTCCAGCCATTTGAAGTGTATTTTAAGAGATAGCCACCCCTTTACATAAAACCTTTACAGTATGATATGGTACTTACTGTAAATATCTGAGTAAATACCATCATAGTTTACATGGTCTTTGAGCTGAACTATATCTAAGATCATATTTGAAAATTGTGCCCTTATATTGTTTTTGTTTAGGAAAGCTCTGAGAAACTTCCTGACACAGAAAAACTACCAAAGTAAAAGAACTTGCCTTACACTGTTTGGTCCAGTCTTTATGGTGGCTCTCCATCAGGAGCTGGGAAACTTCCAGTTAGGCTGACCAGATCCTGAAACAATGAATGTGGGACAAAAAGCTAGTGAGAGACAATGTGCTCCTCATAAATGTTATGATGTCATAACTTTAAATTTATTATAGCTCCCATTTTACATTAATTATTCCCTGTTTTGACGGTTGGTGCACAATGTTTTTTAAGGTTTAAAGAAAAAATGTAATTTTATTTTTTTCATTCAAAACTTTTAAAG